CATTGTCTAGAAGCTTGTTTAAGGACAAACATATTTCTTACCTTTCCAGTGCGCGGCTTATGCTCGCATGTGGTCGTCGCCTGGACATGGGTTCTACCCATGCGTAGCTACCGCCTGGGCGCAGCTTGTGCCCATGCGTGGCTTCTACCCTCGTGCGGCCGTCGCTTGGGTGTTGCTTAGATGCGGTTTTCGATTAGGCATGGTTGGACCACAACTGTTACGATGCATGGTTGCTCACAACTATTGATGTTGCTATGAAGTACACGTTGCTCGATGTAGTCATTACCGCCAACAAATATGTTGTACATATATAGTGAGGTTGGCAATAGTGTTGCACAACGATCATCGTTGCTTCATGATTATTGAAGATCGCGTTATAAGGAATCTAACACCGCCCGCCAGCAAGCAATAAAACAGAAGAGGTAGGAATTTAGATCAACAAAATATGGATCATTCAAACATCGTAAATCAGAAAACAACAAATCTAAGATATTTGATTTCAAGAACCTAGACTCTAATACCAATTGTAAGTATAAAAATTGTTATATTCTCTATGTAATGCAGAAACAATCTTTTTTGCTAGGATTAAAATCAAATAATATTCGATCGATTTTACGATACGTACCTTTTGATGTCATATGAAAAAAAGATCTCTATGTGATCTGTAAGGGCACTATCTTTAGATCCAAAATCGTTGTCAATTTGCAAGGAAAACTAGACTCTCCTCCTCTCTTTCTATCGTTTCATATGACTACTTAGATTGATGGTTCAGGGAGGTTGAGATGAAAACTATAATCTCTCAACTACGTCCTTTATGAGATCGTTCTTTAGTCTTTAGAGGTTCTGTCTATTTATATAGGCGAGAGTAGAGGGTCTAAAATAAGTTATTGGGAGAGTTCCTTCCATCAAGGGTATCCCCTAAATAATCTTGCTATAATATGATTTTTTTTATTAACTAATATCTGTCATAAAAATCTAATTAATTATATTATATATCTTATCTAATTATAAAGAGCAACATAATTCAATAGTGCATGCATCTATAAAACTTAGAAAGGATGAGAAAGAGACACGAATAGCATAAGCTATTGCCTTTTCGCTTCCTCCTCCTCTCCTCCTCATTTGTGATTCGATGACAGTGGCAAAGGTAGGGAAAGGTAAGGGTATTTATATTAAAAAATAGAGACATTATTTAGAAAATAAATAAAAACAGGGAGCATTTAAAAAAAAGGGAGACTTTTTTAATAGGAAATCGCCGTAATTTTAAAATAGTAAAATAGTTTAAACCTTGAAGCAACGTTTGAGATGGCAATAGTGCTAAACAGCTGATTATTTATTGTAATAAATATGTAGAATAATTATCAAATTATAAACAAATATCTTGCTTATTTTCTTGGTAAACAAATTAATTTGTTCGGAATGTAAAAAAATAATATAAATTTAGAATTCAAGTTGATTTCGTATGGTACTTCAGATTAGAAATCAAATCGTTCCTAACAATTCATGCTTACTATTTAGAAAAGAAATCACGATTAGGCAAGACGTGAGAAGAGAACATTTCATCAAGTCTATATAAAGTGTAGCAATCGGCCAAATCGTTCAAACCCTTCTTTTCCCTCTGTTTCGGAACTTCACATCATGGCCACGCTGTTAGCAAATTTAGTCATCCTCTACTTCAACTTCTTATTAGTGCTCAAGGTGGCCGCCAATGATCCAATCTCATGGTGTAACCAAACGCCTCACCCTAAAGTGTGCAGTTCGATGCTCGAAAATGAGATTGCTGAGTCCATCTCCCAATCGGACTTCCGCGACGTTCTCCTCCGGGCCACCACGGCCCGCACCGTCCTTGCCCTCCGTCAAATATCATCCATGGACATGACTCTGTTAGACAAGCCGGCGAAGGCAGCATTGGCTGATTGCTTGAAGCTGTATAACGACACCATCATCCGTCTTCAACACTCCATGCGTTCTTCTTCGTCCATCGAAGACTCTCAGACGTGGCTAAGCGCCGCAAAGGCTAATGAACGGACGTGCAGGGATGGCTTTGTGGAGCTCGGTTCCACCTTCCCCTTAGCATCCTCGTCCTTCGTCACCAACCACCTATCGGAATCACTTTCCAACATGCTCGCCGTTAACATAGCAACGCCGAGGGACAAGCCGCCTCCTAAGAACCGCCGGTTGCTATCCGACGGGTTTCCACGGTGGGTAAAGGCAGCTGATCGCAAACTTATCCAGACGGGCGTAACCATAAAACCCGATCTTGTGGTGGCTAAAGATGGCTCCGGGAACTACAAGACCATCTCAGAAGCAGTCGCGGCGTCGGTAAACCTACGGCAAACCACGTCAAGATTTGTGATCTACGTCAAGGCTGGTGTCTACAGTGAGACCGTCGATATCGCCCTGAACATGGTGAACTTAATGATGGTTGGAGACGGGAAAGATGACACCATAGTAACCGGTAGTAAGAACGTCGTAGATGGCACCTCAACGTTCAATACTGCTACCTTTCGTAAGTTCTTTCTCTCTCATAAAGATCTTAACGAGGTTTATAATTGAACTTGGGTGGATGATTAGAACTTCCCATGTAATATTTTGTAGAATAATGAAAAGCGTTACTATGTATACAGAAACACCTCAAATATTTCTCATTTGCTGTCCTACCTCTTTCATAAAATAAATGAAAAAAAAAATCCATACATGATATAACGCTCACTCTGTATAATTGTAGTAAACTTACCTCGCATTATTCAATGTGTTTCCATTAAATGGTTGCAATTCTTTTCGACTAATTTCTTAAACATAGATTACATTAGAATCAGAGGCCACCTTCCTACATAGATCTAATGTCATAGTCAAATTGAAAGTCAAAATGCTCGCTCTTAGAACTGTCACCATCGACAAATGCACGTAAAATTGCTGCAGGTGTCGACGGCGAAGGTTTCATTGGGCAAGACATGGGCTTCGAGAACACGGCTGGACCTGAGAAGCATCAAGCCGTCGCACTTCGTTCGTCTGCGGACAGATCCGTGTTCTACCGCTGCAGCTTCAAGGGATACCAAGACACTCTCTACGTCCACACAAACCGGCAGTTCTACCGTAATTGTGACATCTACGGTACAGTGGACTTCATCTTCGGTGACGCCGCCGTGGTGTTCCAAAACCCCAAGATTTATGTGAGGAAGCCGATGGACAGGCAGAAGAACACGGTGACGGCCCAAGGCCGAGACGATTTCCACGAGAACACTGGCATCGTGATGCATGCCGCTTTTGTCATGGCCGCGCCAGACCTGAAGCCGGTGCAGGGGTCATTCCAGACCTTTCTCGGCCGGCCATGGCAGCAGTACTCTCGAACGGTTTACTTGCTGTCAAGGTTGGATGACCTAGTTGATCCTGCTGGGTGGCTCGCGTGGAACAAGACCATGAGCGTGAGCAATTTGTACTATGCGGAGTTCCAGAGCAAGGGCGACCGTGCTGATACCAGCAAACGAGTAAATTGGCCAGGCTACCATGTCCTAACAACTGATCAGGAAGTCGAACCTTTCACCGCCGGAAAATTTTTGACCGGTGACTCGTGGATTCGAGCCACGGGGGTCCCTTATGCCTCCGGGCTTTATGGATAGGACGCTGGCGGAAACAATGAGTTACACTATGCAACTACTGGATAGGTGTGTAGCTCACTCACCTGGATAGTTCCCTCTTATCAATTTGTACTTGAGATATTTTGGTAGTTTGTAAACTCCGCTGATCATGCAGCACAACCCTTCAATTGATCAAATGTCACTTATATACGCGTAGCAATCGAAGTAAAATTTATTATGCATCCAAGAATAACCAGAGCAATAATTGAAGCAATGAAAGCAAGAAATCTTCATCACATCAATATCATAGGTTTTGAGCTATAAGATATATACAAGATATTAATTTTATTGAGTCTAAATTGATTCAAAATATTAAAGTTGAAATTGACAATAGTACACTCATCATTATATTTTAATACTAAGTATCATCGATTTGATGGGATAACTGATGTATAAATACCCATAAGGAGTCGTCGGGTTAAGAATTAAAAAAAATAAATGATGATGAAGCGAGGATTAGAGATATCGAGAGTACTCCCCCAATCTATTAATATATGGATTAAGACATTGGGTTCGGACCCTAGTTGAGTCTTAATTAAATTAATTTTGAGTTATTTGGTTTGATTGAATGAAATGAAACAATATCAATATTCTCTTATAGCTTATCATTATTATTTATAAAATTTGATATTATTAATTAAAAATTTTGAATTAATTAATTAAGATAATATAGAGAACCGAAACCATTCATATCTTATAAATCAATCTTAATTTTATTAATTTTTAATATAAAATTAATGAGAAATGTTATCTTTATTGGATCTTTGGCAACCCAATCTATGCCAAGCTGCAATAGCTGTCACATTTCCACTTCAACATTCTTATTAACAATTCTCGATCAGACACCTCGCCAGACGAGTCCTCTCTGACAACACGTTCGACCCACTTCGGCATGTCCATGTCCTCCTCCTTGAAGGCCTCCGCTTCGGGGAGATTTGCCGGTAAGCAGCTCCAGTAGAACACCAAAGCTGCATACGTCGGCCTTACGGGAAACCGGCCTGTGCTCGGTGACCTCTGGCGCCTAGTAGCAGATCGAATGCTGGGTTTTGCAGGTAGCCTTAGACCTCATACCCCGCTGTCAGAGACACGAACCCGGCCTGATCTGTGTACAAGGATCTGTGTCGAAGTTGAAAGATTGAACGAGGTATCAGAACTTTTTGTTTGTTTAACTCTATATACCACCTGTTTAATTCATAAATTTCTCTTCAAAATCTTTTTCCTACAGTTCTCAATGAGTGTGCTCTTCTTACATTTATGAACGAGAATGAGGGTAGGACTCTGATTTCTACAGATCTCAATGACGGAATTAGAACATTTACATCATAAAAAAACAGAGGTATTCATTATACAGCCGTCACTATGTAACAGAATTAATTGATGGAGGATGTGGATCCCAAGTTTAATCAGAAGAAACAAAAAAAGTTCTTCCAGAATACAGTCTTTAATAGCATCAAACAGACACCATAGCACGTAAATTGAAATGCAATAGAGACGAAAACGCTTGAATTGGACGCACAGATCAACGACAGAGCGTACGAATCACAAGTACATCTTTCTTTGACAATCGGATGATCGAGAAAAGGGCGAGAAGACGAGTCTGAAGGCGATCCGAAGACTAATCTACTCCTGTTTGGCGTCTAGTGATCACGGGATTATTCAGAGCGTTTGAGATTTTCGATGCGCTGGTTTTGCTGGTCAATGCGGCCGAGGAGGCTGGTGACGGAGAAGAGGAGCCAGTAGAGGAGGAGGGCAGAGGCAATGAGGATGGCGTTGCGCTGGCTCTTCATGATCGACTTCTCGTACCGGAGGTGCTCGGAGGGGGTGCAGGCGTGTTCCTGCTCGCAAGTCGGCCGCATCTCATACTTCCAGTAGATGTCGGCGAGGAGGAAGAGGCAGAAGGGCACCACGGAAAGGAGCGGCTTCAGGGCGCCCCGTACGACGGTGAGGAGGCCCCGCCGGAGGCCGCCGAGGCCCGGGAGGGTGAGGAAGAGCAGCATGATCGCCTCAGCCCCGGCCGTGTAGCCCAGCACCACCCACTCCAACGCCATCCGGATCAACGAACGATCGGATCGATTAGAGATCGACGCGAAACCCTGGACTAGTAAAAGCAAATCTTGCGCGGAGGAGAAGAAGCCCACTTTGTTTTCTCCGCCTCGTCCGGATGGGAGCCCGCAGGAAATAAATGAATCGTGGGTTTCCTTTTTAACGAGGAAATGCAACCACGTGTACTTTCGACACCATTTCGGACGTACCCAACTGGAGGTTTCCCAAGGTGGTCCCGGTGGCATCAGCAATAGCATATGGGGTACACTCGTTCGTATCCGACAACCGAGTGTGGAAAGACTATACTGATTTGGAAAGAGGAGGAGATCGGCAACGCGGTTTGATGATGGGCACGTCTGTTCTTTGAACTCGACAGCTTGCCAGGTGTGCGGGCAGTAGTTGATCCACCGCTGATGCGGCGCTCGGCGGCAATCTTTAAAGGCATCTTTCCGGTTACCGTCGCGAGGAAGCAAGGAATTGGTCCACCGGACAAAATGTGGTTTCGTTCATGAACAATGAC